ATTATATATATATGAAAATGAATGATTTGGAGCAGCTTTAAAGTAAAAAAGAAAACGTATTTAAGTTTATTAAGATTTTAAACACAAACTCAACTAATCTGCTTCATCAGGACTCTGTGGGAACACAAATACAGAAATCTTACATGTGAAATAAACGCAGCTCTTCTTCAAACCGTGGCAGAAAATGTTGCTGTAAGACCCCGTCACTTATGATAAGAAGCTGATTGAGATGATTAAGACTGTGAACAGACACCTGGTACTACACATCAGACTAAAGGCACGTCATCTTTATGACTTGCATTGTCACGGGTTGCACTCTGACACAATTCTTTCGAATGCCTCTGTCTTTGTCTGGCACCCGTCACTGCACACCATCATAAAAATAATCCTAAAAGGACATTTGAGCCCAAGCGATAAAGTTTCAGCATAGCAACTGTTATTGCTGTTTTTGTTGGCTAATGCATGCTCTGGAAGGAGGTCGTGAATGAATGCGGCCATTACAGTCGCTCTGCATGCTGACAGCCTTCAGCCATTACAGCCACCTGGCACGTCTCCACGCCGTCGGCCCAGAGCAGCAGTTGCGAAGTGACACGACTCCGTCCGTAACCAGATCCAGCTCTGATGAGTGGAACATTAACAGCTGCTCAGGAGGGTGTAAGAGAGGGAGGGCAGTGACAGTGTTGTGTGCACTCCCCAAATGTGTTCGCACAGATGAAGGAGAGGGAGGCAGAATCCCAGTTGACTTCTTAATTGGCCGCCGGTGCCAGATGCCGGCCTCGAAAGGCGGCCGGTCCGGGCTGTAACAGTGTCTCAGCAGCCAGGCAGAGCTTTAGGCACGGCTTTAGGAGCCCCCTGGCTCCATTGAGTGCTCCCACGGGTATTAGGTGCTCCAGTGTTGTGCTGCCTTCCCTCCTCTCTCTCTCACACACACACATACAAGCACCCTTCTTCTTCTTGCTCCATCTTTCCTGCAGAGCGCTCTGAGGCATTGTCAACACCAGTCAATCTGAGGCGAATTCAGACGAAGAAAAGCCCGAGGGTAACAAAGGCCCGGGCTTCTTTGTGTTGAATCTATTCACGCCGAGGCACTGATGTCTGGCTTCTCTGACGCTTCATGCAGTGTTGGGATTGAGATTCCTCCGCCCTCCTCATTTATGGCGTATTGATGTCCTGTAAACTTCCAGTTAGCTATCAAATAACTGTAGCCTTACCATCTAACTACCCGCCTCTAACCTCTTGCTCTTCACCCTTTCACCCTTGTTACGCAATGCTATTTATTCTCAGAGGAAGAGGAAACTAGGTTGGAGAAATGAATTCACACTATTCAGAGTCTGTGTGAAACACACAAAGATGTACTTGGCCGTATGACGGTACATTTATTTGATCTAAAAACAGGAGCACACAGACGCTTCACTCCGAGGTTAAATAAGGAGAGTGAAAGTTAAGGTAGTGGACTGACATTAAAGTGGAATCTGATAAGCGAACAAGAAGCGGTGGTACCGCAGCGTGAAATGGGCTGCTCACAAAATGATTAAAAAATCTTCCTGTTTGACATTATTTTTGATCCTTGGTGTGAAGCAGGAAAGGAGTTTTTAGCGATCTGCTCTCCTGAAGAGACAATGTTCGAATTAAATTACGGCTTAGTCTCACACACGGCAGTGTTACGTCTGACAAGGACAGAATAATATATTTGAGGGGTAGCTCCTGTTAAGTGGATCAGGTTTATATGTAATTCTCCATCCGTAGCAGAGATGTCAAATATGCATCAGCTGAGTGCTATTTGAGCGTAACACCTGTTAAACATTGACCCATATATAAACAAAGATCTGGGGGTGTGGGACTTGGCGATGGTCGTGTTTTTGTCATTTAAACTCCTCAAATAGTTATTCTTGCTGCCTGTCTAGACGATGCAGTGTTTAGTATGCAATACTTCCTGGTACTTTTTAAAGAGATGTTTTTTTACTGAGTTATTCTGCTCCGTAGAGAGGTCAGAGGTCAGGTTCTGCTCCAGAGTAGCACTCCTGGATCAGGTTGTTGTTGTATAATGATTAACTCACTGAAGGCCATTTTTGCCCACAAATTTTATTCTGCAGTATTTAAAGTTGAACTCGCCTGTATCCAAACTTCCTGTCGCCCCTCCAGAACGAGCCATCGCCAGACACGAGGTGCGAGAGATCGAGCAGCGGCACACGCATGACGGTCTGCGGGAGCGGGATTCGCCGGCCGTGACGCTGTCCGAGGGCGAAGACGACATCGTCATCATCTACAACCGCGTGCCCAAGACGGCCAGCACCTCCTTCACCAACATCGCCTACGACCTGTGCGGGAAGAACCACTATCATGTGCTACACATCAACACCACAAAGAACAACCCGGTCATGTCCATACAGGACCAGGTCAGAGCTCACAGGCTTCTTTGACATGAATCCACTCTTTTCGTTTGTAATGTAGAGGCCTGGTTTCTTGGTGTTTCTATATTATTGTCACACACAAACTGTGCGTACTAAAAAAAAAAAAAAACTACTTTTCAGTTACTGTAATAACAATCATGATTTGGTTCAGGTGCGGTTTGTAAAGAATGTGACCGAGTGGAGGGAAATGAAGCCGGCTTTCTACCACGGACACGTCTCCTTCCTGGACTTCACCAAGTAAATACGCCTGTCTTGCTTTATAATGGCAACATTGTAGAAACAGTTTATTCACCCTGCTGTGGCTTTGTGCAGGTGACTCCACCTGGTGGTCATTCACAGCTTTTCTCTTACACAGTGTCGCGTAGTTATCTGAATGTAGCACAGTGCTGATCCTCTGAGCTCAGCGTGTTTCAACCACAAAAGAAAATCTGTGTCTGTCTTTTGAGTTCACATTTGAGTGCCTCAACCCATTCACCGTCATTTCTGTCAGGTTTGGGGTGAAGAGGAAGCCCATCTACATAAACGTGATCCGGGACCCCATTGAAAGGCTGGTGTCCTATTATTACTTTCTGCGTTTCGGGGATGACTACCGGCCCGGTTTGAGACGCAGGAAACAAGGAGACAAGAAGGTTGAAATTCATAAATTGTCTCATTAAAAGTCAGAATGAAATTAAATTTGACAAATTAGTGTTTTCTTCAAAACTGCTCATGCATTGTGTTTGTGTTTCAGACGTTTGATGAATGTGTATCAGCCGGCGGCTCAGACTGTGCTCCTGAGAAGCTCTGGCTCCAGATTCCCTTTTTCTGTGGTCACTACTCTGAGTGCTGGTAAGTGTTCAAAGACCTCACAGTGTTCAGACAACACTGAGTCCGAATTATGATCGGATATTTGAAACGATAGAAACAAAACTTGATTCAGCTTTAGTTATCTTTCGTCTGTTTGACTGTTCATAAGGCTGGTGATAATCTAGATTTTTATTATTGTCAACAAATTCCATAAAAATAATTAAATCAACAAGGAATTGATCCTACGTGTTGTTATGTGTAGGCCTGTTGTATCGTATTCCTCTGTACCAATGGGGCCTATTGTCCCAAAACTAAAAACACATTGTTAAAATACGTCCACCATTCTGGTGCGTTCATCACTCACTAGAGCACCAAATGTGTTCGATGGGATAAATCCACAAGTCCCCAACAAATACAATGTTTACTTCTGTTTCGTTTACGTTAAAAACTACAGCGGCCAGCTGTTTAGCCTTTTTGTAGCTTTACTTTTAAAGAGAAACTTTATTCCTGTGATGTTTTTAATGGTAAAGTCCTTATGTTTGTAATTCTTGTCCTTGGGGTTTATGTGCCACAGAAAGGTTAGAGCGAGACAGACTCCTTGTTGGTTTTGGTCTTTTCAGTTGGATTTGACAAAAAAACAGACTATCGAGAATCTTATCCTTATTCTCACCTGAGGCAGTTCAGATAGTTCAGGAGGAATGCTGTATCAGTTTTGTTTAATAATGCACAACATTAAACCTCATAGTTCCTTTCCATCACTGATCTCCTCAAGGTCTCTGAAAGCTATCTCAGCCTTGATTTGTTATCTCTCTACATGATGATCTGTATCAATCTCTCTTCTCCTCTGCCCTCACTTTCCCTCGTTTAATCTCTCCTTGACTCTGCCCTCCATCTTGTAACACTCTACCCTCCTGAAGCAGGTAACTCGCTGTAGGTATCTAAAGCACCTTTCACACAGAGATCCTGAAATAATGCCGCAAAGAAGATCCGCCGTTCGCAGGATTTTGCTATGATTGAGTTCACTGTGGTGCACTAGCAGCATATTAAAGCAGCGGAGAGCATATTGGAAACATTAAATAAATACTGAAGAATAGAAGGCGAAGTCGCTGCCGGTCTTCTAATACCGAGTTTAACGAGGCTTTGCCAAAAAGTTACTTTATAGGTTTAAACAATCTACTTCCTTCCCTATTATTACATTTCCTGACCATTACAAAAACCTGCCACTGACTTTCCATCTTTCCTGCCTCTCACCTCCTGTTGTCTCAACCCTCTCTGGATTCTGTTCATGTCTCATTTTCCTGTCACTGTCTTTGTAACTTTCCGCTTGCTCTCTTGCTCCCCCACAATTTCTGTCCATTTTCTGTCCTTTGCATATGTTGTGATCATTTACCATGCAGCAGAACTGCCACTATTTTAAGCACAATACCAAGAAAACTAACCACATGCAATGAACATAATCTGTGCAGGAACGTGGGCAGCCAGTGGGCTCTGGAGCAGGCGAAATACAACCTGGTGAATGAATACTTGCTGGTTGGATTAACAGAGGAGCTGGAGGACTTTGTCATGATGCTGGAGGCCGCGCTGCCACGCTTCTTCAAAGGAGCCACCGAGCTGTACAAAACAGGTGCCAACATCTGCTGATCAGTTAGAAACCATTTGCTTTTCCCTTGCACATTTTTGTTTCCCTCAGAAATTGTATAATATATTGAAAAGCTACCTAATGGCTCCCTCACATTGCAATGCTAAAAGTGTCTGTGTGCTGTGGTTGCGTATTAGCAGTCTGAATTGCTCCTCTGAGAACTGAATTGTGATCAATATGCACTCATGCCTCCCGCTGATGTAGTTACAGATTAGTTATGAGTGCAGCCAGAATGAATAATGGCGAGCACAGAAGAATTAAATCTGACATTGATATAAATGTACTATGGCTCAAGTATGTTCATCATTTTTAGCAGCAGATACACCCAAGTACTCAAGTTAATCAGGTACTTGTGCAGTGCCCGTTTTTAAAACGTGCCGGTTCAGAACTGCAACACCACAGGCCAAGCAAAGCTTTCTCGCAGCACACACATACAACTTTTCACTCAACACTCCACTTCCTTGGGTCCTGAGAAATTCACCTGCCGTGACATAGTTGCATCACAGACCCAAGTCAGGTCTTCATGGGACCAGACTTAACCGTTGGGTGGGTTAGTTAGGCAACCTGGGCCTGGGACCCCCAACTGAACTTGCCCCTAAAAGCTATAGAATTATTATGATGTTTAGAGATAAAACATATTGAATTATGTTACTATTCTTACTCATTCTACCCTGAAATATCTAAAAAAAAAAAAAGGCTCCCAAAGCGCTTAGAAAATATGCAACTCAACTGTATACGTCTTACTGTGTCCAGAGGAAAACATCTGGGTACTACATTTAGCTGACAGAGAAATGTTACTGTTTACGTTGCAGATTCAGATTTGACTCACAAAATATAACAATTCAAATATGATGCATTATTTTTCTTTAAACTATCCAGCATCAATTAGAATTGTAAGCTGCACCTTGAACAAACATTAAGTAAATTTAGCTACATTGTGCTGAAAATGCCTCTTTTACTATGTGGGATTTGATAGTTTTACTTTTGGTGGTTAATACTTACTTATTCAGAGCATATCTATGATTCAGTTCGTATTTGCCGGGATTGCCTCCACACACGGCTCTCAAATATTTGATTGACATGGGTTGTATTCAATCTTCACATCATCGTCAATGAAATGGGAATTTCTGTATTTGGTTTTCTGACTGTACTCTCTGTGGGTTGTGACCGATAATTTATCTAACATTTTATCTTTCTTTATTTGATGCAGATTGTAGGCTTTGTATGCTGATGTCTACTGTGTGTTTATTTGGTTTTACGCACTTTGGTTTTTTTTTTAGGATGGAAATTGTCATTGTGATCTGTCAATGTGGTCGTACATCCCACAGTCGATGCATAAACCAGCAGAGGAATAGTAATTAACTGTAATTAACTGTGGAGATTCTTTGCTTTATAGTTAGATTCATTTAATGAATTTGAAGACTGTCTCTGTACAGAAGTCATGCACTCTCTTTCTTATGCTAAATATGAAGCTATACATTAAATATGACGTTAAACCTGAGAAACTGTTTGTAATGACCACAATGACAGTTATGAGCAGAAAAGCCTTTGCATTACGTGTCAGACTCTTGTTTCTTGTGGGCTAACAATGACATGTTGTTGATACTGTAGTTAATACCAGGAAACTAAATAATTAGGATGATTTATTGTTTAGGGCTCAAAGTTTAGTTATGCTGATAGTCCTATTATCAATAGTACCCATGTTTTTAAAATCCAGTAACAAAAAAAAACTTCATAGAATTCACCAAAAAAAAGTACTTTTAATAAATGTAATTGTAGTAACATTTAACATGATAGACCATGTGTGTGTTAATGCACCCAGACCCCTTTAATCCTCCTCCTCTTTCATCACAGGGAAGAAATCCCATCTGAGGAAGACCAGCGAGAAGAAGCCGCCCACGAAGGAGTCGATCGCCAAGCTGCAGCAGTCGGACATCTGGAAGATGGAGAACGAATTCTACGAGTTTGCACTGGAGCAGTTCCAGTTCGTCAGGGCACATGCTGTCAGAGAAAAGGACGGGGAGCTCTACCTGCTGGCACAAAACTTCTTCTATGAGAAAATCTACCCCAAAAACTAAAGAGGCACATGTCCGTAGAAGAGGACACTTTGTACAGGCTCAGTGCAGTCTGAGATGGAAAAAGAGACGGAGGGTGAGACTAATAGACAACAGGTGACTGAGTGGCTGCTTTGTACTTGTGATTGAGAACATAACGTGGAGCTGCAGAACCACCTGCCTCTGGTGACAGCTGCCTTATACACACGTCTGTGCCAGCCAACTGGACAAGGAGCTTGTGTTTCGTTGGCAGGTTGTGTTCCCAGCAGCCCCCGGGGCCTCCATTCCCCTTCACTTCCATGTCAAAGGTCGTTGGGCCAGAGAACCTCTGCCGGCACGTGTTCCAGAGATCCCCTGTCCTCCTGATCGGCTTCTCTGTTCTCCGATCCAGACTAAACATTTCCATTGGCTCTGTACGGTTTGGTTGTGTTTGGTTGTATTTTAACTCTTTCCTATGGTGACATGCTCCATGGTGACACAACATCTCCACGCCTCACCACCACCACTACTACTAACCTAAAGAGTTTTTAAGTGTAAGAAACTGACTACTGTGCTGTATTATTGGACTTGAATGAGAAGTTTTGAGGTTTTTATGAAATAAAAATCCTGTGACCATGGACTATTTACTGGGACAAGTAAGTGCGTATGTTTTATACTGTACTTGATGTGTTTTGTTGGACATAATTGCGCAGCGGCTATGAAGGCAGACATGATGGTATTGAAATGTGTATGAACACTATGGTGAAGATGCTGCTGCTGTAAATATTTACTACTTTTTCCAGTCTGATTCATTCACATGTAGATTTGCTACAGTATAAGATTAACCCATTTATACAGTTAGTTCTTTCAACTCATTTCACTTTTTAGTCTCCATTTATTTTTCTGTCTTTTCTTTTCATTATAGAACCAGATAGTCTGTAATATGCCAAGATTTTGGGAAATACTTTCATTTGCTTTCTTGTCAAGAGTTTAATCAGGAGATTGTTACCACTCTATTGTCATTCCCTTAGATAAAACAGCTGTCAGCAGGTTAGCTTAGCATAAAGACTGTAAACGGGGGGATCAGCTAGCCTGTCACTTTCTTATAACGCCACCATAACACTGCAAACTTGTTGTTTTTTCACATCAGTTTTTGTATATAGGTGTTAATTAGTGAGCCTAAAGTCTGCTTACAGAGTGGTATCAATCTTCTCACCTAATTGGCAAGAAAGCAACTCTGTATGTCCCCAAAGTGTTGAACTGTTTCATTAATTCTTTGCTGTTTTCTTCACAGTTCTCCACATAAAAGATGTTAGGTTGGTAATAACTTTCCATTTTGCTTGTGTAGTTGTCATCTCTCGTTTCTTGAAGATTGGGGTTTTAAAGGCCTTTTATTGGCTGATTAAAGTTCTTGTCTACCCTTTATAAATTGCTGACTAAAAGTTTAAAGTGACATAATGTTGTCGCCTCAACTAATTCACCTGAAAGAGCCGTGCAGATATATTCTACTGGACGTACGGCCACATCACGATTCCTGAAGTATTTAGATATAATTAAGAATAGGTACTCGTGTTTATCTGAGGACAAACTGTAGTTTGCCGCTCAGTTTTCGTGTGCCTTCTACACTCCCAGCTCTCCTTGTGTTACAGTTTTGTCAGATGGAACATAAAAACAACACGGCTGTTTTCGTCTTCTGATTGGCAAACGAAATACACGGAACATTTTTTTTAATTTTTTTAAACTACCAGAGATGCATGTGTGTTCTTTGATTGAATATAAATGTTGGTGCATCATCATCAAGTACAACAGAGCAGGAAGTGGTAAAGACAGATAACGCTGCTGCTGTGAGAATTAAAGCTGGATTACTTCAGAGCTGGTATCCTGCAGAGGGAGATAAAGAGCTGCCAGCTTCTGCTCCTGCCTCCGACTGTACGTGTCTGTGTGTTTATCCATTTTAACATCCTTTCCATCTCCTCAAGTCTTTTGTCAGTATTTGATATGGTGATTGCAGTGAGTTAAATATGTCGGGGGGGACATAAAACTTACTATACTATACTTTGAAACAATTTAATATAAAAGCACAGACGGCTGTCATGCCAACCTGAATGTATGTAAAAAAACAATTATTGTGGAAGTCACTATACTTGCAGCTGAAAAATAAAGTGAGAGCACCGAAATGACATTGTAACATGAAGTGAGAGGAGTCACTAGAGGCCAGAGAAAGTGTTTATATGACCCAGTGCTGCCACTCCGTGTTACTCACCCCTGCTCTCTGATAATCCCTGGACAGTCATCAACCATTGGACTCATCCCCATTAATCTCACATCATTTTCCAGTTACAGCTTTCTGGTTTTGGCCCTCTGACCCAGATAAACATGGAGGGTGCCCCCTCGGTAACAAGCAGATCAGGACACAGTTTCAACCCCTCTGAGGCCTTTTATGAGGTTGTAACTAGAAAAAAATCAGAGGTGGCTGCTGAAAACAACTGGATCTAAAACACCTTGTTGTAGGTGTTATTTGTTTCCTTTTTAGTCTTTACGAGATTATTTATCCAATATGTGGCTACCACTGTGTCATTTATGGTCGATAGTTTCAGTTGTTTGGATGCTATGAACCAGTAAACAATCAAAAATGACATCTTCTCCAAATGCCAAATCTTCTGTGAAGAATTTTAGTTAGTCTGTTGATTATTTTCCAGTTTATACAATGTAAAAAAACCACTAAAATCATATTTGTGTGGGATGTCAGGATTTAGAATTAGTCAAATTCAACTACTCCACACATTTTTGGCAGATGTGGCCCAACACTCAAAAACCTTTTGTCCCCTCACCTGTATGTTTGACCTGCAGAATGATGTGTGTGCAGAATCTGACACTAGAAAGCTTTTCACTTTAATCTGCTGGAGGGGGGGGGGGTTAACATGTGGAAGCTACTTAATGATTTTGTGACATCGTCACGACTGGAAGTCAGTCATGGTCCAAAATGCAACTTACACGAGAGTGATGTGAAAACACGGAGAAAGGACTTTTCAGTGAAGTAGCAGACAAAAAATATTAACATATTTAATTAGTATTCAAAGAGTATTTTTATATGTCTTGAAATTGAAACATTTGAGAATATCTCTGTCAGTTTAGCCTTTATTAGATAGCAAACAGTACGGTGGAGAGCCTACAAAAAAACCAAGAGAGGGCAACAGGCAACAACAAATGTCCCCAGTCTGTGTTTTTCAGCTTTATTACCACAGTATATATTATATTTCTACGATATACTGTATAGTATATTTATCTGCTAACACATGTAAAAAAAAAAATATAGTATGCGATATGGTATAATGAAAACGTGCGGTTGCAAGACATGGCTAAAATTCATTATCAGGTCACAGAATCTGCTGTGTCACAGCATTTGCTGTAACACCAGAAACCAGGGACAACATGGGCCCCAGACACAGAGGCATCCTTTATGCATTAGGATTTCTCTGAGATTTTACAACCTTGTGGACAACACCATACCTGCCCAATGAAACTTATGTCACCGTCCAATTAATTATAGCAATAATCATTATGTTTATTGAGTAACAACCCACAGATAATAGTGTTCATTCAACTGTAAAAACAGAGCTGGAGAAAGGCTGAACAACACAGACATGTGTCTTTCTGATAAAGGCTGGTATTAATTGACCCAATGGTACAGATACACCATATCTTATCCATTCTTTCGTCCCTCACCAAACACTGCACCCATTGGGTAAGTGTAGGTTGTGGATTTTACTGACGGACCACATCGATCCATACATAAAAGACAAAACCATCACGTCCCGTCTGAAGCACCTGTCCTCAGTCAGCCTCTGCAGAGTGTCACCGTGGAGGGATTTCAACCGGAGCACATAATTCATCCGTCTGCCCAACAAGGCCTCTGCCATTTTTTTATTGAGTGGACAATGCTCAGTTAATGAGTGAGGAGCCGGCATTGTTTTCCCCGCCAATAAATATTTGAGACACCACCCCATAACACAGAGAGTGCCCAGTCTCTGAGACATATGGCCTGTGACGACTGTGTCCCTGAGGGTTATGTAACGCAGCAGTAAGTCTTCTCACTGAGGTGTGACATGTCATGCTCCGGCCCCAGTGGAGAAGAGTTCAGCGTTTGTCCTGTGTTTTTTTTTTTTTTTCATAGGATCATTTCATTCTCATCTATCTGGCTCGGCGGCTCAAAAGCAAACTGTGACTCTTGCAGTATTTCATACAGCAGCTTTTGTTTGCACTGCAGCTCTGGTTGTTAGCAAGTTTGTACAGCATCTGCATGATCCTTTTGATTTGAATTATCAATAGTAAATGGGTGCAGTCTTCTGCAGCTTACTCAAGCAAAATATTTTGAGGCACCTATACTTTATTTGAGTGCAGCACTTCTATTTTATGGCACTTTATACTTCTACTTCACTACATTTCAGAAGGAAATATTGTACTTTTTTTTTTTTTACCCCATTACAGATACCTGGCAGTTATCATTAGTTGTTACTTTGCAAATTAAGATTTTATATTTATTTCATATTCATGAAATAGGACGCATTGCTATAGAATAGACAGTTAACAGTTGAAGTTATCGTCACCTTCACTAACTATAATGATACTGCCTAAATGTTAATGTTTAAAAGAAAATAATAATGTAATATTTATAGCATTTTGGAAATACTTTTATGTACTCATATTGAGAGACCAAAGCCATTCAGCATGAGGTACTTTTACTTTTGATGCTGTTCTTACTGAAGCACTTTCACTAATAATTAAGCATTTTTTAGTGATATTCTCACAAGGCCTACTTTGTCCACCACTGATGAAATCAAACATCTAAGAAATTAGGATTATCCATCTTTAGTAATGTCTGCACATTAATTTTACCACATTTTAGCCTTAATTTGAATCACCCTGAAGTGAGACACATGTTGTTGTTTTTTCTCTCTCTATTTGACCCCAGGATGATTTCAGGTTATTAGCATGAAGTGAGGCCAGGCTAAATAAAGTTCTGAATCACGTGTGAGCTAACTGTCCCGGGCTGAGAGCAGCCCAACAGCAGCACTACAGCTCCTCTGGGCGGACGCTTCCACTCTAACCACCGCCTCTTTCTCCAACTGCACTGGGACAGATTTATGCCTCAGTTTTTTTTTAATTTATGAACACCAGTCCACCCTCCAGGACCCCTCTAGGACGGTGCGACCGCGTCAATGAAGTGTGAAGACGACATGGGAAGCCCCATGTACCCGAGATGACCGATGATTTGGTCCACATAATCACTTATTTGTTTGTCGCCAGAGAGGGAAACTTAAAACAAGGCTTGTTTTTGGAGTTCCACCTCCCCTCCTCTCTCCCCGTAGGATTTGATTCAAAGGCGAAAACCAAGATGGCCGCCGATTCCGTGCAGGTAGGAAAAGTTGACAACTGTTGCGAAAAGTGCGCAAACTTGCTCCAGAGGTTCAACCATAAGTTAGTAAACAGCCTTATTTTGTCAAAGTTGAGTCGCTGTGAGTCGGTAGTGTTGTATTTATGTTATGGGCTTGTGCTAACGTTAGATCCCAAAGAGTTGTCTGGGAATTATCCATGGATTGAGGCCTGGGAAACAATTATCCAAAGTAATTTATCCTGAAATATTCCAAGTTTTTAAACCGGTAGATTTGGGCGGAAGCTGCTGTGTTAATTCATGTAACGGCCGTTGACGTAAAACGTTATAACGTCAGTGTTGTTGTAGATCAAGTCAAATAATGGTAGTTAAACGTTAACTTACAGCTAACGTTAAGTTAACCTGCGTTACTTAAAAAAAAATAAACAGTGTCCTCTGTGTTTATGTAAGTTACCGATAACGTCATATTTTTCATTTTTAATATGTTCATGCTCAATATGAATACAGTTAAATCGTTAAATAGTTTTTTATAAAGGGCTAGTTTGTTTGACTTTAAGTTATCGAACACGTTACAGACCGGATGAACTTACTACATTAGCATTAGCGATGTAAAAGAAGTCAGAAAGTCACTACTCCAACATGCAAAAGCTCATTTTTCTATTTTAAATAAGGACCAAAGTGCAACCCGGCATTACAGTCGTGTTTCATATTTCTCCACGAACAAGTCGTGACTCACTGATTAATGTGGTTTCACTTGAGTGACGTCAGACCTGAAGTAAGTCTTTCTGACAAAAACATTGTCTAAAGACCTACAACTCATCCACAACTTTCCCTAATCCCTGTTAAAGTGCAGTCTAGCATTAGCATTTAGCAATATCTTCCACAAACTGTACTCCTGTCAGTCTGATAACTCGCACACTATTATTCATCTTTACAGGAGAATGGTTTACAGCAGATAAGGAAGCTAAGACTTGTGAGAAGTATTGGTCCAAATGTGGTTTTATTCATTTGATCCTCGCTGCTGTTGTAGATTGAGGCAACAGGTGGGGATGACCTGTCCTGTTGTCATCTAGGTGATGCCTTCACTGAACCAGTTTAATATTAAAATGTCTATTTTATATGATGGATGTATTGCATTTTTAATAGTCAGAGTCTGATAACCATAAGCTGTAGGCTAGACCACCTATGTCCTCTTGAGTATGAGGACAGACATGGATAAAGAGGTCCTATATTTGGGATCTCATCATAGTATTGGTTTATAAATAAGCCAGACTACGTGATGTAAAGTATCGCATACTATTTTACCATCAGAGCTGGCCGATAGTGATTGATCACATTATATATTGCAAACACACGAGTATGATTTAGAGTCGATAAATCAAAAAGAATTTGTGGTCACCTGCCACAAAAGCTTGATTATTTACTCAGATGTATGAGTGGACTACTCCATATTATTTCTAAGAAAACGTTGTCGAACGGTTCAACCACACTGACAATTGAAGAGACAAACATCCCTCTGAGCAGCAGT